GGAATTTGGTTGATAGTGCACCAGGTCGTAAGACAGTTGGGTGCAAATGGATCTTCAAGAAGAAGACAGACATGGATGGAAATGTGCACACATTCAAGGCTTGACTGGTTGCAAAAGGTTTCACTCAAACCCCAGGGGTTGACTATGATGAGACCTTCTCGCCAGTGGCTAAGATTAAATCTATTAGGATATTGCTCGCCATAGCTGCCTTTCATGATTATGAAATCTGGCAGATGGATGTCAAAACTGCTTTCCTTAACGGGAAGTTGGCCGAGGATGTTTACATGAATCAGCCAGAGGGTTTTGTTGATGCAAAGTTCCCCAATAGAGCGTGCAAGCTTGAGAAATCCATTTATGGATTGAAACAAGCATCTCGCAGTTGGAATCTTTGCTTCCATGAGAAAGTCAAAGAGTTTGGTTTCTCTAGAAGTGAAGATGAGTTTTGTGTGTATATCAAGGCTAGTGGGAGTATAGTAACTTTTCTGGTGTTGTATGTCGATGACATATTACTCATTGGTAACGACGTTCCAACCTTGAAAGAAGTTAAGTCTTGGCTTGGAAAGTGTTTTGCCATGAAAGACCTTGGAGAAGCTGCCTATATTCTTGGGATTAGAATATTGAGAGATAGAAAGAAGAGACTAATTGGACTTAGTCAGAGCACATACTTGGATAAGGTACTAAAGAGGTTTAGTATGGAAAATTCCAAGAAGGGAGAGCTACCTATCCAGAGCAATACCAAATTGAGTAAGACTCAATGCCCGAGTACAGATGTTGAAATAGATGACATGAGTCGTGTACCTTATGCTTCCGCTGTCGGATCGATCATGTACGCTATGACATGTACTCGCCCTGATGTGGCATTTGCTTTGAGCATGGTCAGTCGCTATCAGGGAAACCCAGGTAGAGCTCATTGGATAGCAGTTAAGAATATACTCAAGTATTTGCGAAGGACAAAGGACTGGGTCCTTGTACTTGGTGGCAATGATACTTTGAGAGTAGATGGTTACAGTGATGCCAGCTTTCAGACGGATAGAGATAACTTCCGTTCTCAATCGGGCTGGGTATTTTTACTGAATGGAGGAGCAGTTACTTGGAAAAGTTCCAAGCAAGATACGTGGCTGATTCTACTTGTGAATCAGAGTACATAGCAGCGAGTGAAGCGTCGAAAGAAGCAGCTTGGTTGAGGAACTTCATCGGAGATCTCGGAGTTGTTCCAACCATCCAGGAGCCTATGGAACTGTTCTGCGATAATGAAGGAGCGGTTGCCTTGACAAAGGAACCGAGAGATCATGGTAAAACCAGACATATCGACAGAAAGTACCATTTCATCAGACATAGAGTAGAAGAAGGCCATCTTATAGTAAAGAGGGTGTCATCTGAAGATAACCCAGCAGATCCCCTCACAAAGGGTCTGAGTAGGGCTAAGCATATTCAGCATGCTCGGAGCATAGGACTGAAAGATGATATTAGTTTTAGTAGTTAGATTAGTTTTGTTCTGAAACTTGTAACAAAGTAAATGTAATTGACTTTTGGTGATTAAATAATAAAGTATTATTTATAAGTTTGGTTTCTGCCTTTTGTCAATTGTTTATTATTGTGTTTCATTTTTGCATGTTTTACTTCCCGAATAATAAGATTATTCAAACTCCACAGTCGCTCGTACTTTTGGAAGTAAGTAGTGAATCAAGACTGTCATGAACTGGATTGTAGATTGTCTAAAGGACAGACATGGCAATAGAATTGCTGCAACATTCATGAGTACTCGGAAATTGAGATTTGAGTATTGGATAAACCCTCGCTCAGAGTATCACTTCATGGAATTCATCACGAGTAATACTGAGACGATAATATCTTATAATTTTGAAACGAAGATATATGAGTTGTGATTTACAAGTCGGTCATGCATTGGTGATACGAAAACGCATCAGTAACTTGGTGTTATAAAACGTATTGTCATGCATAATTTGATGAGTAAAAGATACAAGCATATGAGTCAACGTTTATTCGTTCCTTTTGCCTTAACAGGAAAAGCGATATCTGTGGGCCCCTCGATGATTTGGTGTTGACTTATGTGCTGGGCCCAGCCAGGACTAAATTGATGTGTTCAATTAGAAGTCCTACATCATCACAAATCAGGAATCGAGAAACATAGATTCTAGACAAAGAGATTGATTACATTCCATGTCTTTTGTCTAGGGATATCTAGCAGAACGAAGGATTATATGATCACTTATCTTAGGACACGTAACTGACTGGGTCAGAGTTCGGCAGCAGCTTTTGGAAGCTACAATTTGCTGGTCAAATTTAGAAGGCATACTAGCAATTATAGTTACAGACTTATCCAAGTGGGAGACTGTTGGATTAGGTGTCTAAGCCCATAACTATAATTGGTATGTACTTGAATTGATAGCAGCACAGTCCTTTTGGGTTGCCCTCAACCTAGCAACTGGACAAGGAAATTATGAAAGGAGAGATATTAATTTATAAGATTAATGAATTAATATAAATGATTATTAATATGTTAAAAAGATTAATATATTAATTAGAAATCATTATGTTTAATTAATAGTTAGCCAGAAATTAATCAGAATTAATTTTGGGGTTAAAAGAATTGATTATAAAGTGCAGGGACTAGTTTGCAATTAACTAATAGTTGAATGGAAGGATCCAGAACCTCCTTGGATGGAGGTGGACGAAATCCATAGGGGAAACCCTAAAGATTTCGTCCAAGGGGTTCTAGATAAAGCCCTTGGGCTTTGCTTAGGCCTTAAGCAAGGATCATTAGGGTTTTTTCCCAAAACCCTAGTTCCCTCAGCTATTTAAGGAGCCTCCTGGCTCACATTTGAGGTGACTGATTTCTTTGGAAGAAACCCTAAGGCCGAAATTGCATACTCTCTCCATCCTCTCTCCTCCAAGTTTCCTTCTTGCTAGTTCTTGGGTATGATTCCATTAGAGGCATTACATTTGTGGTGCTAAGCTTCCAAGAAGATCAAGATCAAGATCAAGAGGATTATCAATTGTTTGCTATAACAATTGAAAGGTATGTAACTCCTAAACCCTAGTTTGTTAATTTCAAAATTAGCCTCTCTCCTCTAGGGTTCTTGTTTTGCAATTCAAAGTTATATGTTCAATAGTTAAAACATAAATCCAAAGTAGGTTGCATGTGAACTTAGGAATTGTTTTCTAGTTTATTTGTTTTTCCTAAAACCTATCAGTTATGCCTTTACCTAATACATGTATGTGCAACCATATGTTAAATAGGATCCAATTGTGTCCGAGGCTTCAATTGACACTCAGCATTACTATCGACCTACATCCAAATCCCACGTCAAACTGTGAGTTCATACCCCTACGCTTTTTCCGAGTTTTTCATGTTTTCAGGGGGGAATACAAGCAAAAGTACAAGGAAACTTGTGCTCAAAATATATTATTTTGTTTAAGATAATTATATTTCTAGTATGCTTTTAACATGGAAAACAGTTTTTACCAAACGATTAAGAAATCAACTCGTAGAAACGGTTTTCAAAACTAGGGTAATGAACTTGTGAATCATGTCGTAAAATGTATCATTTTATAAAGGATTCCTGCAAATCATAAAAAGGATTTTCCATATTATTACTTGTAAATTTGTTAGTCTAGTTGGAGACACGTCCTTGGTAACACTCACCACCGAAACAGAGTGTAGGACTAGCACTTATGACCAGAATCTCTTGTAGGGAGAGCGTGACTGTTGTGTATAGATCTATAAGGGACTGACAATCCCGCACCTGACTGCTAGCTACAGTCGGACCGACAGGTCTACGGGTGACAAAGTCATTAAGGGTATCGGCCGTTGCGGGCCATATCCAGTCAGTTATGGTTATAAAACTCACAATGTAGATAACAAAGATTTACTTTTGTAATAATGAATCAAGTGAACTAACCTCAAAGTAATAACCGATTTAATTACTGGAGGGTATTAATAATAATATCTTCAGGACTTAGTTCATCACGGTTTTCTTTTATTTAGTTTTTAAAGCTAATGTACCTCTCTGGGTGTAACCAGGGTTTTAAAAGAAATCTGCTTTTATTAATACGAGCATGGTAGATACCTGCATACCTCAGTTTAAAACGAATAATCAATCATCAACCTTTAGGGAAAATATAGGATTTTCCCGGGATAAACCGACTATTCAAAACGGATTTGTTTATCATGTAATCAACGGATATTCATATTCATTCCACGACACCTTGGATTGTACGTATCTTGGTACGAATCTGGACGTCATGGAAGGAATGGGTTTTCAAACATGCTTTTATTAAGAAAATATAGGATTTTCTTAAGGAACACTTTTCAAAAGGATCAAAGAACCTTTTCCACCAAAAACTAAACGCTTATGAACTCACCAGCTTTATGCTGATATTCTTTCAAAACTGCTTGTATTCTCAGGGAATTAGTAGACAGGTACTTCCAGGAAATTTGGAGAAGTCGGAGCGTTAGAGTCACGTCTTTCCATTTTACTTTTGATATGAACGAAACTATGTATTAAACAATGTAAACCTTTTCATATATGTATTCAATGTCTGGTTGTGTTTACTATGCTTGCTATGATACAAATGTGGTGATACTACGTATGACGTCAACCACCCCCGAACGTTTCCGCCGTTCCGGTTTGGGGGTGTGACATTCCGGTCCGGTTTTTCGGTTCTAAATCTCATCCCTACTATGGAGTATTCAACCCCAACTTCAATTAAGGTGGAAGGGCCTATTTGGAAAATTGTAATAATACAGCGGTCTCGATTAACCCTTTTTTTTTCTTACGTCGGGTTATCGATATTTTATTATTACAACCGGATCCAACTCACATACTAGTTAACACGCTCTCCGACCCGTTTCCATCTTTCAGATCTTCCCCAACAATTGATTTCTTCCCCATAAAGTCTTGTAATTGGGGCGGAATCTGTGATTCAAATCGTTAATCTGATCGAGTTTCTGACCCAATCTTACGAATTTTTTCACGATGTCGAGGGAATTCAACGTCCCGCCAGTGATTTTCCCATCCGGTGGAAACCCTAACACTGGCCCTCAACGACGACTCCCCACTGCTCCATTCCAGCCATCGAGATCTTCAAACCCTAGCATCCCTTTCATGTCCTTCGACATCGGCTCCTCTCCAGCATCCACCTCCTTTGCAACCCCTCAATTTGGCAGCATCGGAAGCGGTAGCGGTAGTGCGAACTTCGACGATGAACCGCCTCTCCTTGAAGAGCTTGGTATAAACACCAAACAAATCTGGAACAAAACAGCTTCGATTTTGAATCCCTTTAGAGTTAAAGTAGATCTTCACGAAGACGCCGATCTATCGGGTCCGTTTTTGTTTCTTATGGCATTCGGATTGTTCCAGTTACTTGCTGGCAAGTTGCATTTCGGGATTATTTTGGGGTGGGTGACAGTAGCTTCTCTGTTTCTGTATGTTGTGTTCAACATGTTAGCAGGCCGAAATGGGAATCTCGATTTGTATCGGTGTTTGAGTTTGATCGGATACTGTATGTTACCTATTGTGATATTATCCGCAGTAGCATTGTTTGTTCCTCAAGGTGGGCTGGTGATCTTTGTGATGATGGGGATTTTCGTGATATGGTCTACACGGGTGTGCACGAGGCTGTTGGTGGAACTAGCATCCTGCGGCGATGAACACCGTGGTCTAATTGCGTACGCATGTTTCTTGATCTACATGCTTTTTTCATTATTAGTTGTATTTTGATATGGATTTCATCCCACCTGTTTAGTATTCTTTAGAGATATGATTTGGGTACAATATAGTAATTGTTTCGTTTTTCTTTTTGATATTCAAAATGGAAGATCGCTTCTGTTGGGCATGTGAGGGGATCAGGGGATTGATTTTGTGAACTAGTTAAGTAGCTGATATTAAACTTCAGGTTTTATTACGAATTGCTTACTTGCTTATGCTTACAGACCCTGATCATTTCATGTTTCTTGTCTGTGTTATATGTTCTTGATCATTATGTTTCTCTAGTTTTGTGGTATGCTTATCATGAGTGGATGGAGTTTAACTTGTTATTGATGTGCAAAGAATCTTGGTGTCTACCTGAGTTTTGTTGAAGGTGCTTTTGAGGGATATGTAATACTTATTATCTATCATAAGTTATAAAGTATAAACAGAATTAGCACATTCAATATAGAACTAAAATCTGTTATCCTGCACACCATCATATCTTCTCTATTCTAATAAATGAATAGGTTTATTCTCCTATTAATCTTCTCTATTCTAATAAATGAATAGGTTTATTCTCCTATTAACAAGTGTCATAATATTAGAACTCTTCTTTAATATTATGTGTAACCTATCATGCCACTTGTCAACCTATTAATTATCCATTTTAAATTTAAATTTCTCACTCTAATTACATTAAATTAATAATTGATTCTCCATTTTAAGTTTCAAATTTTAAAATTTTTCACTTTAATTATATTAAATTAATAACATTAAAATAAAAAATAAAATAAAATTAATAGAGATTATAATGAGATATAACTTCACGTGTTTATTTAAATCAAAGACTATAATTTTATATAACTAAAAAAATATCTCTTAGTAATAATTTATTTAAAATAATTTATTTATAATTTGATCTTTTAATATGAAAGTTTAATTAATTTTATAACCGTGGTTATCACGGGTTATAAACTAGTGACACAATATTCAGGACTCCATAACAACACAACAAGACATATCCTTTTACAAGAATCATACCAGATAAAGATTTCAATTCCAGGCATAATGTGTAGAGCTGTGACTAGTGCTAAGTTTCTTGGGCATATGAGGAATTAAGAGAAGTATAAAAATAAAAATAAAGTTAGAGTATTGCATTTGAAAATTACATAAAACAAAAGAATTTCTCAACAATCATACCCAATTTTCAGTGCCAGGGTTATAAATATTCAACCAGTTAAGTGCTATTACCATCATGTGCAAGTATAGAAAGAAGAGGTATCAGGAACACTGCTGATATATAGAGAAATCTGAAGGCTGAAAGCATTTGTAGATGGATTGTTTTGGAGTTGATGTAGTGAAACGGGTAACAAATTATTTGTGTTTTTTGTTTTTTGTTTTTTTTTATTACAAAAACACATTGTTTTTAAAAAGTGCAATCAGACTGCAAGGGTGCGATTAGGTACAGAAAAATGAGTTGTTTTCCAAAGATCTTTTCCAAGAAAAATAAAAATTTTGAAAACGCGTTTAGTTTAACAATTTTTCTGAAATTTTGAAGGAAAATGAAAATTTTCCGTTTTCCATAATTACAAAGAACTTAGAAAGTTTTAGAAAATCGATAATTATTGTTTTCCACATTTTGCTAATTCTAATAAATTTCTAAAATATAAACAAACACCCACCCCCATCCCACCCACCTCTACCTACCCAACCCTAACACCCCCACCCACCGACCCACTCCCAGGCACCACCTCACCCCACCCCCACAAACACACACCCCCACCACCACCATTACCCCATCATCGCCATCACCTCCGCCGCCGCCACCATAACCACCACCACTACCACCACAATCGTCGCCATCATCGCCACCACCACCGATAAACAAGATCTCTATTGCAGCAATAGGATCCAAGAAAGTAAGTTTGATACTAGCTATTTGATAAATAAGAAACGGTTCTTCTTTTAGTTTTTTGTCAACCATCGACACAATTTTGAAATAAATGTCAATTGTTTATTATCAACATGTTGAAAGACATCAATCATGTAATGTTGAATTACATGTTCAAAAATATTTTCTCCGTCAATGAAATCTTCATGATAGAAGTTCTCTACTAATTGACATACACCACCACTTCGAAAAGCCTTACTAGCATTTTTAGGATCTAAAGTTGTTAGAAAGATTAGGCACTCCAACGAGTTATCATTGAACAAGTGATCTAATTCCACTAATAGACACTTAATTGCTTCGGAAAAAATTACTCGGTTATGATGTTCAAGTGTGTGTATGATCATTATACTCCTTATAGATCGAGCTCCTCTACTAAAATAGAAGATGAAAAATCAAGGATATCGATATACATACCTGGCAAAATGACTTGATAAAAGAGAACAAATCATCTCATCTTTCATCCTTCATATTTTATCATAACACTTAGTTAATGCAACTGCCCTCGAAATATCTTCATATTGTCTGTCTAAAGTGAAGTTTGAAAAAGTAAATCATTGATATATATTGTTTCTTTTTTAATATACAAAAAAATGAACTCAAATATAGTAATAGTTATTGGAAATATGTCTATGGTCACAAGTTAGTGATATTTCTATAAATAGCAGGATCATTTTGGGTTACACACAAGACATGATTTAAGCATAAAATGACAAAAGGAAAATTAAAAGGACTAGTTTATTAACTTATCATCTTATGGTGAGTTAATTAGAAACTAAAATAATTAAAAGGTTCAAGTGTAATCATTCTATGTTTGAATTGGTAAGTATTTATCTATTAAATAAAGGGATAAATCTACCAATTTTGATGAGATAATGTGTACACAAAAGGAGATTCGATCCCGTCATAACCATTGGGTTGATTCCCTATTACTTCTTGGCTTTCTTCGTCTTTTCGCCTCTCTCTTTTGAGTTAGGGTTTTCAGTTTTGCTAAGGAGGAGAAGAAGGTATTGTCTCATCTTGATGGATCATAGTCTTGGGGGGGGGGGGGGGGGGACCACAAGAGAGAAGTCTTGGTTTGGACTTTCGAATAATCTAAGAAAGGAGTAAAGGAATTGAACTAAAGAAACTTAACTTTCTAATTCTAATTGTTGCAAGGAATCATTGAATTTATGATCCTAGTAGATTATGGTTTAGTATTTGCTTCTGTTGTGTGATTTCATTGTTTTGAAACCGACCATGATTTAACAATAGCCTCACATGCCGAATATGTATCTCATTTCCTTAAACCAAGTCCCTCCTAAATAATTTTAAGTAAAGCCTTACAAGTCGGACTAAACATCTTGAAATTGATTTGAGGTGAGAACTCGATCTAGTATCCCTATCTCGTTGTAACGTAAGAATATGAGTGAATACGTATACATGTCTCCAACTTGCTCAACTTGTGCGTCTCTTAGTTGGTCAATGTATTTGGAGGAAGCACCAATACTATAAAAAAATAATTGAGTAAATAACTCTCATAATGTAATAACTCATTGTGGAGTGACCATTAATGTTAGTTGCAACTTGCAATCAATGAGCAAAATAATAACACAATATGCTTATGGAATATCATTTGAAATCAATGCTTGCAAACCCTTGAAATAACACCACATATTGTTTGCACAATCATATATCTTTGGCCATGGAGTAACTTAAAATCAAGATTGTTATGTGACAATAGATAAGGTTCAAAATATATTTTTAAATTAATAGTGATGTATATTATGCATGTTTAAGAGTATTCCGAAACAATTCTTTCATTTTAGTGTTACATTTCAAATAAATTTAAATTGTTAATGGAATATAGTATTTCATTATAGACTCTAAATGTAATTGCTTAAATGTTGCACCAAAAAACTAAATAAATAGTAGCTATCAATCTCAATCTACTATTCTTACACTCTTCATTTATTAATATCTCAAACACATTTCGTGTCTCTTGCGTCTTATTTAACAAATCATCACATGCTTTTTGTTCAACATTTTGAAAAGAATTACACACTTAATCCCTGTATGATGCAAAAAACATATGATACCACCAACTTTCTTTCTTTTTTGAAATTTATCAATAATAACATATGAACAAAACACGACATCTGAAATGTTTGAATATCCAAGCCACTATAATAACTTAAACCATCTGCTTAGGTCTACTTTGTAGTCATATGATAATGCCATGTAAATACTTAGAACTTTCATTATGGGTGAGCATTTGGACCTTCGCAGCACCAGATTGGATCGGACTAGGAACCACACTTGTATTGGCACCAGACTGTACCAGTTTTCAAGAATAGGTCTGGTCCGATTATGAGTTCCTTTGACAATGTAAATTCATAATTTTAAAAGCCTCAATGCATTGTAATCTGTGTAATTTTTAAAATATTCATATCTCATTCGTTTGAAGTTGGATTGACTTGAGATTTTTTCCAGCATATAAGTTAGAGTTTATACTTGAGTTTAGCCTGTAATTTCATCATTTTTGGTTCCAAATTTAATTAGTTATTGTCCCCCGAAGTCGGGATATCAAAGTTGAAAGGTTTTCAGATTTTCAGCTACCACTTCAATGACTTGTAGCATACTTAATTAATGTTGTATCGGTCCATAGTCCTCACTTTTCCCTTAAATTGGTCTGGTTCAAGAACCAGTTCTGGTTTCGGTCCAAATGCTCACCCCTAACGTTCCGGTCCAAATGCTCACCCCTAACGTTCATAGTGTCACACTTGGTTTGCGTCTTGGTTCTCCGTAGAGCGTTATGAAGCCGAATACCAGGAAATCGTGCATCATTAACCACCATTTTTAATAATACAAATGAAGTTATGATTGTTACTTTGTTAGACCAACACTAATTGACAAACATGAAGTTGGCCGCTCTAAAGAGCATGCAAGTTGACCATTTTCAAGAGAGGGCCTCATAAAAAAATGTATTAGATGCCAAAAGGAGCATGCTTACCTTCGTTGTCTATCTCAATTACTAGCGAATATGTCAAAGTTGGGAGCCTCATGATGTAGGCTTTGATCTTCCGGTAGCCGATCACTAAGTCAATATGTTTAAGCTATTAATAAGTGTAAGGCTCTAAGTCCGCTTTCAGTTCTAGGATATGTCAAAAGCGAAAGTTCTATTTACAATCCTAAACAACATTTAGACAAGAAAAACAAATCCTAATTACAAAAATTAATCATATCTTAAACCTGATTCAGTTGTTGGTCTTCATGTTCTACCCTTACGAGGATTTAGGTACTCTGATGACCCTCCTGGTCATGCATCAATAAGGCAATAATTGAGATCTCCCAAATCATTGTAAATGCATAATCATAAACCATGTACCATTCTTTAAGCTTCCGAATCCATTACCTCTCAAGATGACGAATTCTTTTTCTCTACATGGACTTAGTAACTTAGTTTCTTTAGATGAACGCATAAAAACATGAACTCTGAGTTTTTTTATTAGATGAATACATGAACTCAGTTCTTGAACTTATGAAAAAATCAAACACATGATGAAAGTATAGACGATGAGCGACTAAATGTATAAAACAACAAAACATAAGTCACTAAATATGTACAAAAAACATGTTGGTCGGAAAACATACATCAGCCGGTCATAATCGTATTTTATAAACAATACAAACAAGTTCAATGTTCATATGTGTACAAGAAAAACATAATTGATTAAATATATACAAAAAACAAAACTATATTATCCTTATACATCATTATGTGTATACGAAATATCAGAAAAGATATAGGAAAAAAACCTTCATAACAAGCCGAATATAGCTTTAAAATAAAATAGAAAGTAATAGTCATTTTCGTGAATATCCATGGAATTACCACCGGTCCACACAAACATAGTCCGAGTGTGAGGCTAGTAGCCAGTTCCCCCTTAGGGCAGATGGCGGGAGCCTATCAAGCTCTACTTAACCTCACTTCTCCGGTGGCCGGAGCGCCTCCGTTCCGATCGAGGAAACACACATTTACGACGCCATATCTTTTGTTTTCTGGCAATCGCTCTTTCGGTGCCACCAGAAGCAATTCGTTGCTTCCTCGAGAACTCCGTTCAGTTACTAGAACACTCGTAATCAGGAACAGCGCGAATCCTGCTCAGGTATTTAGCTTTCTCATGCTATTTGATTCATTTTCATATTTCGTTTCATAAGCTTTACATACTGTGGATTCTAACGGATAGGGGTTATATGTATGATTTGAGGAATAGTAGTAGTGTGATCTTAAGGAATTTTAACAAATCACGAAAGCTGAGATATCGATTGAATGATCAATGATGATATGTTGACTGGTTTCTGCCCCTTATAAAGGCTTACAAAGATACGTCGAGGACTGAACAGAACTACCTAAAAACTAGGAACAAAATCAGCTAAGAGATTTACTTCTAACAATCATACTAATTGCGAGATTTTATAAGATCAATTACGTGGAATCATTCTTCAACACTCAATAGTTCATTTCCCTTCAATTAATTACTCTGAATCTTTCTTCAACATGAAAGGAATTTCAGGGAAATGATGGCCCTAACCAACCTCATCAAGAGTTTGCATCGACTTTTTTGGCTTCTGCAAAACCATTCTTGAATTTTGTTGGTAGCAATTTTCTTCCATTAGGTAATATGCAATCTGCTTTTATGTAACTGGATTATTTCTGTATTTATGACAGTGTTCTACAAAATACTAGAAGAAAGGGACTAGAAAAAAAAAAAGACAAACTTGAAGCTTTTATGTAGCTTCAATCAAGCTTTTGTTAACTTCACTGAATCATTAATGCCTACTGATACTTGGTTTCTTAATTAACTTGATGCAGCTCTTATTAGTGGAGTAACATTAGGCCTCATAAACCCTAGTCTTGGATGCCTTGCTCACAAATATCATGTAGCAAAATTTAGCACTTGTGGGATATTTCTCATATCAGGTTATTACTTGAAAGAAAGTCATGCTTTAAGTTATTCACCAATATGGCAAATATTTTATGTCTTTCTGGTTATTAAACCATTTAAACATTTTAATCTGCTTATAATTTTCTTATTTCCATATACAGGACTCACACTGCGCAGTGAAGAAGTAGGTGCAGCTGTTGCAGCATGGCCAGTTGGACTTTATGGGCTTGTATGAACTAAAATTTATAAAATTTATAGGTTCATTCTGTTCACTCCCCCTTTTCAAATAACCATAGGAAATTAGACTAATTTAAATATTTGAAATCATCACAGGCTTCTATTCTGTTGTTGACTCCCCTTTTTTCAAAAATCATCCTGCAAATTCACCTTCAACCTCAAGAATTTGTAACAGGTCTGGTTTTGGTTTTATAAAAGGAACATGCAACATGTTTCATTCATTGATGTGCTATTCTTGTAACAGCTCAAATCTTTCATCATTTTATCAATATATTTTTTGTATCTCTTACAGGACTAGCTTTATTTTGCTGTATGCCTACAACATTATCAAGTGGAGTTGCTTTAACTCGGGTTAGTTAATTGTTCTAGAAACTTCCTCTAATTACTATTTTGTTTTATATCATTCATTATGAGATTGAGTAAAAGTTGTTGTCTTGTTGATGCAGCTTGCTGGAGGAAATTCAGCTTTGGCTCTTGCAATGACTGTATTATCGAGTCTTTTGGGAATTTTGATTGTAAGTTTGAAAGCAATAACTTTCCCTTTCTTGGAATCAAGGAAGGAATGGAATGTAATGACTCATTCCATTCCATCAAAACTAAGCATTCATCTCATTTTTTTTTGTGGTTTGTAGGTTCCTTTTTCTATATCAAAACTTATAGCTGGTGGAGTAGGTGCATCTCTTCCTGCTGATCAGTTATTCAGAAGCCTTATTCTCACACTTTTGACACCTTTAATTTTCGGAAAGGTGCTCAATTTCTCAACTTTCATATTAAAAAAAAAAAAAAAAACATTGTGAAATAAATTCACCAATATAAGAGTTCAAAATTTCCTCCTTTTTTTTTCTTCCATATGACAGGTTTTACGTGAATCCTTTAAAGGTGATTATTCTTTTTACAAGATTCAAAAGTACATTTTTCTAATGAGCATCTTTACAATCATGAATCATATCCAAGTTCTTCTTTGTTGTAGGGGTGGCAGATTTTTGTGATAGTAATCGTAAGCTTTTATCATCTGTAAATGCTATTCTACTAAGTCTGGTAAGAAATAAAAATGAACTTTTTCATTGCTGTATACTTTTTGAGAAAATTTAAAATTCTACAAAAAGAAAAATAAAAATGATGCAGTATAATCTTTATTTAGGTCCCTTGGATACAAGTGAGCAGATCAAGGTCACTCCTTCTAATGGTTAAGCTTGAAGTTTTTCTTGTAGCTGTTGTAATGGGAGCGTAAGATTTTATAAAATTTCTCATATATCTTCTACTTTAAGTTTTTAGTTAATTGGTGAAAAAATATAAATGATTCAGGGTTCTTCACCTGACACTATTGGGGTTTAATGCCCTCTCAATACAAATCCTATGTGGCATATCGGGTGGCAATAAATCGATTTTTGCAAACAAAGAAAATTCCAGTGCCCTTTTACTTGTTGCAAGTCAGGTAATAACATTTAAATAATTAATATTAAATTTATTAACAAAAACATAGATATCTTTTAATTTAATATTATTTCTTGCAATTTGTAGAAAACTTTGCCAGTATTGGTTGCAGTTGTGGATCAACTTGGTGGCAGTTTTGGTGAATCTGGTTTGCTTGTTCTTCCTTGTGTTGCAGCACATTTAAACCAGGTTTGTTTGTTTTTATTATTAAATTGTACTTAAAGAAAAAGAAATAGAGATAGAAATCTTGACATAAAATGAAATGGGTATGTGGGACCCATGTGAATGGTTTTGGTGTGTGTAGATTATCATGGACTCTTTCTTTGTAAGCTTTTGGAACAAGAAGAAACAGTCACTTGGTGATGTCAAATCAGCCTAGATTTTGCAACCCTAACATGCTTCTGCAAAAAGGACGATTGTTACAAGTGCACTTTTTTTTTTTTTTTTTATTTTTTTATATTCAATATTCAATGTACAATTGCTACAAGTACTCATGTTTTTCATGTATAAAATTTTATTTTATGAGAATTTTTGCAATATAATTTATAAGACGATGTTTATTAAAACCAACCTAATATAAAAACCGCATCATACCTCTTGTGGTTTATAAACTGAAGTGCACCACACAGTCACACACAATATATAGTAATTGACTTGCAATAATAACAACCAAATATGTCCCAAATAACATGTTCAAAATCTGTCCCAAATACCAATATATACCAATTATAAATCATGTTCTTATCAGTGAGTATTACAATAAAATGAATATTTTCATTGACAAAACAATTTCCAATGACATCTAACAAACAACCATTTTCATTGATCTTTAACAGGTTTTACATTACAAAATACCTACAAAAAGCAAACACTAACATTCGAAGTAACAAAATAAAGCATCATCAACCCCCCACCCACCCACTGATAATCGTAATCCTTACACCTAAAAACACAAATGTCAAATGATAATCCTAAAGCCTACAACTTGTAAATAATTATGGTCAAGAACAAAGCCCAACTACAAAGAATATCTTCAAGTTTCTATTTTGGGTTTCATCATCAACCCAACAAATAAACACACATTGTGATCCATGTGAAAATGTGAAATTAGGGATAACCATTAAAAATTTGAAATCACATACAAGAAAATAATAGAGAAAAATGAAAACCATGATATTGTTTTTAGACAAGCGTAAAATCGTCTTCCAAAGTTAGTGTCTGTCCTCGATGAGAATATTATATAAGTTAACTAAAACTTAAAATTTATTTTATTTGGAAAAGTTTCTCCCAAATGCCAAATAGCAAAGGTTATTATTCGGGCTTTTTGGACTAGGCTTTAAAGTTCGTTAAAGGCCATTAAAGCCCAACGGGTTGTCCAAGTTTTATATTTATATTTTAGCGTTTTATAACTATAAGCATGTTTTATTCAAATGTTATTATTTGTTTATTTGTTAATTAAAATTTATCAAATGTTTTAAGAAAAAAAAGACATATGTTCATGAATTATGACAAAATACATCATTTAATAACTGCGTTATTTTGTTTTTTTTCATAATACTTAATATGCTATGCTTATTTTGGATCTAAATATAACCGTTACACCTGTTTATTTTTATCCGAGTTTTGAGTTAAATATTATATAGTTAATATATTGTGTATCATGTATTTTTTTAATATGATAATTTTCTGAAATTTGTAACCACATGAATTTAATACACCTTTTGTCATCTTTAGAAACATATCTTTTTCTTCAATCTACACAAGACAAATTTTTAGTTATCATCATACAACGAATGGGAAGGCAAACGGGCAATAAGTTGCGCCACTAAGCCCTTTTGTATGGTAAAACCAATTCTTTTGAAGACTACATCCATAGATCTAGGAGATATAACATATTTAATATATAATTTTCAACACAATTTTGAATACATAATTTAGATTTATTCCCATCTACAATTTCAATATAAACTTTATCATAAGATGACATGTACGATGTATATAACATGATGTATTTTTTTAACCTACATTTTTATTATTTTACAAAATAAATGCTATAAATTCGTTTTTCAAAATTTGTTTTTCTGTCTACAAGACTACACTACGTACTAAAACTTAACAATTTTTGGAGCATCAACTATAATAAGTTAGTAACTATCGATTTTGATTTATTTATTTTATAAGGCAGAACACTAAAAAAATTCAAGCTATGCACATGATATACACACCTTGAGTGTCACATAAAATTATTATGTGATCGTAGCCCTAAACTTAAACATAAAAAACTCAACAATTTTTGGAGCATCCACTATATCATATGATCGTAGCCCTAAACTTAAACATAAAAAACTCAAAAAGACAGATGTAACACATTAACGATGGTAATATTAATCACGGTTATTAGTTATTTATTCTAGATGACTTGATATAACTAACAATGATCTATGATCATAAATACGTGATTGAATATACTCTTTTTCTTTTCCTAAAATGAATAATTAGAAGGTTAAAAATATAATAACGTTCTAATTAACTTTATTTATTTGGAAAATTGTATTAATGTAGTAATCAAAGTCAAATATCACGGTTGGTGAACATTGACAACCACTGAATTATTTAATACCAACAGTTGAGATAGTTTACCAACTTTGAACACCAAATCAACTTAACTTGTTCCCATGAGACTGAATATTCATTTCTTGTAGTTACCTTTATACCTTATAAAGCTTCCACCCTTGACATCTCTTCAACGATCAAATCTTCTCTAATTACTATTAGTTCCACTTATATTGAAGACAAGTTTTGAACCCTTCGAAGACATCTATTTAACAAAAAAAAGATTGAAATTATAATATATATATATATATATATATATATATATATATATATATATATATATATATATATATATATAACCCTCATTGGCTTTGGTGGAGAGCGAGAGCAGCATCAAAATGAAGGTTCAGAAGGGGTTTGATAATATGTTAAAGAGGATTGCAGTGGTGTTACTTATTGGAATCATAGCTTTTGCATATCAGATCACCACTCCTCCGCCACCTAACCTCTGCGGTTCACCAGGTGGTCCGCCGGTCACCGGACCTCGAGTCACCCTCAGAGACGGTAGACATCTAGCCTATAACGAATACGGCGTCTCCAGAGAAACCGCCAACTATAAAATCGTGTTCGTCCATGGATTCAGCTCTTGCCGCTTCGACGAATCGCTTTTCCATCAGGTAGTTTGACTTGAGTATGCTGTATATAGGCTTGACTAGATTGATTATATATACAAAACTGGAATTAAGCATCGTTTCGCCATGGACTGGATTTGCTTAATTTGTGAATGTGGATACGTTTTGTAGGAATTATTTGAAAAACTTAAGATCTACATGGTGACGTTCGATCGGCCGGGTTACGGGGAAAGCGATCCGGATCCGAAACGAACGATTAAAAGCTTAGCTTTGGATATGGAAGAACTTGCTGATAAACTGGAACTTGGTCATAAATTCTATGTAATTGGATATTCCATGGGTCAACAAGGAGCTTGGGGTAGCCTCAAGTACATTCCTCATCGGTAAGTTCAATACCATATACATACAATACATCCCAATTGGTTTCTCGAAAGGCGTTTCTGGGTTGTACTCTACTGTACAACCCAACAATGCCTATATTGTTTTTTAAGTAAAAAAAACATGTGGGGTCCATACTTGTCATGCTCCATTACCGGATCATGCGGATCGGAAATATCATGGTGCCAAAACTATAAGATTTCCAAAATCAGTTTACTTAATTTGGATAATGCCAAAAATAAAGAATTTAATGATAAGTGCCAATCTGTCAAAGTGATACAAAATTTTAGATTGTTCGTTAAAAAATTAAAAGGATATTATTATATTGTTATAATAATATCTAAGTTTTGAAAAAATAGTGTGCGAATATTTCCATAAAAATTCTATCAATTTACAAATTATGCATAATTTATAAAAATATATTTATGGTCTGTGATATTATTTTGCTGACTAATCTAACAAAAAAATATTAGTTACAAAATCAGTCATAGTTTGTAAATAATGTCACTTTTAAAGAAAAAAAAAGTTGATGGGTTTGAATTAGGGATAATGACTTAAAATGGTAACATATTTTTAGGTTTGTACACATTTAGTCATTGACTTTTTTTTTTGTCTAAATTTTCCCATTGAACTTGTTAAGCTGTTCAAAAAACATCCTTATGACCTACTATTGGAGGTTTAGCCGGTTTTCGGCGTTCTTGTGAGCTTCGGTGAGACTCCGGTCATCTTTTCCGACGAGTTTCCGACCAAAAACACCAAAAAAACACATACATAAACAAAAAACACCTAGATTCATGTTTTTTCCTCAAGAAATTCTTCAACCCCTTCAACCCAAATTGAACATCTTCAAGAACAACTAGATCTGAAAAATGAGTTCATCAAAATGTTTTCAGATTTGCATGTGAGTGTGTGTGTTTGTTAGATCTGAACAAAAATTCTCCAACCTTTCAATCGGTGTGTATGTGTGGATTTGTTAGATCAGAAAACACATACACAATCATGTTCATCCCTTCAAACCCTTCGACCCAAAAATCATAAACCCATAAATCCTTCAACCACTTTAACCCAGATCAGAAAAAACGAGTTCATCGATGTGTGTGTGTTCATCTTCTTCCCATAAATCAAAAGATCTTCAATCGAAGTTATGTTTTTGAGTTATAGTTTGAAATCAAGTTTCCATTTTTGTTCAAGAACACAATGAACTCGAATCTAAAAGTGTTCATGTGAAAAGTTTGAAGCTCGAAAATCATGTTTCCATTTTTGTTCAAGAACACACTGAACTCGAATCTGAAATCAAGTTCGTATAAGAAATCGAGAATCATGAGTGTTTGTATGTTCTTGAACAGATGAAGATGACTTTTGGGTTTGTGTTTGTGTTCTTCATCATATTTGTGTTCTTGTTGTTCATCAGATCTGAAAACCAGAATAAATCTTTTTTGTTTGTGTTCTTGAAGGTCTGATGAGCTTTAAGATGAACTCGAGTTAGGGTTTTCAAACCCAAAAATCATCGGAGTGTTGTTCCAGATCTTTTGTTCATCGTGTTCATCTTCTTTGTTCTTGGAAGTCAAGAAAGTACAAACAATGCAGCACAATGTACAAGTTCGTCGATGCATTATCTTTTGAACCAACTCAAACTCAAGAACATATATCATTATTTATCTCTCTAAAAATGATATTTAAGTGCAAGGTGTTTGATCTTCAAGCTAAATCACGATATGAAGACACCGAAGTTCATGTTCTTGAGTTCGTGTTCTTCGTTAACTTCGATTTTCCATTTCTGTTCAAGAACACAACTTTCATTTCTGGGTTTTTCTTCATGTTCTTCATTAGATTTTTTGATTTATGTTCTTGAGTTCATGTTTGGTTTAGATTTCTGGTTTGGAGATGAAGTAGTGTGTGTTGTTGATCAAAAAATAAAAAATTAAATTATTTTAGATTTATGGTCGGAGACTCACCGGAGAAGACGACCGGAGTGTCGCCGGAGGTGGCAAATTTGCCGGAAACCGGTTTAACCTCCGATAGCAAGTCATAAGAATGTTATTTGAACAGTTGAACAAGTTCAATAGGAAAATATGGACAAAAAAAAATATTAGTGACTAAATGTGTACAAACTGAAAAATATGTTACCGTTTTAAGTCATTATCCCTTTGTTTTACCATACCTCCAATCCATAACCTCATTCTCAAATCTATCATTTTTTTTTGGTTAACTATTTCATAAAAAATAAGATAATATAATAGAATATGAATAATCTCGTAAATAATATATTAGCTGCAAACTTGCAAAAATATTTTTTACAAAATTGAGTAATTGGTGCTGAAAAATCATGGGGTTTTTGCGAACAGGTTAGCCGGCGTGGCCTTAATTGCACCGGTTGTGAACTACTGGTGGTCTAGTTTTCCGACCAACTTATCGTTGGAGGCCTACAAATTACAACCACGTCAAGATCAATTCGCAGTCGGCGTTTCACACTACGCGCCATGGCTAGTCTACTGGTGGAACACCCAGCGATGGTTCCCCGGCTCCAGCGTCATCGCCGGAAAACCTAATTTCTCAGCTTCCGATTGGGATCTCATCTCCAAGCTTCGAGGCGACGGATCACCAACACCAAAGGTAAAACCAACCCTAAATTCCGTTTTCAAACTCTTGTATTGGAAATCGAAAACTGAGATATGACGATCGTGAACAGGATTACGTAAGGCAACAAGGACTAGAGGAATCGATTTTTATGGATATGAAGGTCGGATTTGGGAAATGGGAGTTTGATCCGATGGAGATTGAGAATCCGTTCCCGGAGAAGGAGGGGAGTGTTCATTTGTGGCATGGAGATGAAGATGGGCTTGTGCCTGTGAGTTTGCAGAGATACATAGCGAAGAAGCTGCCATGGATTCATTACCATGAGCTACCTGGTGTTGGCCATTTGCTACCAAATTATGATGGTAAGAAAGAAGCCATTTTAAAGTCTCTTCTGCTAGGAGAATACTAATACTCATAGTTTTGGTGTTTTAGGCATTCATCATATATGTTAGATCTTGAATGTAGTTGTTTGTTTATGTGTAATGTGATGAATTGATCATGTTTGTAGCAGGCAGTGAGTTTCCATATTGTCATATTGAACATGTAATCTCATGTATACATATCCTATTCAAAGGGTAATTGAAGCAAAGATTAGAAATACACTTTATATCAAGGCAACAAAAGAGACTACTTGAAAAACAACTAAATAGGAACACTTGTATTACTTTAACAACTTTACAACTACACTTATGAGGTACTTACAAATGAAAACGAGAGAAATATTTATGCTTGAGAATTGAGTTCCTCCCATAAAACAAATTGAATGGACAAGAATATGAAAAGTCAAATCCTTGTGTAGGATTCTACTATAAGTCAAGTAGGTAAATCGTGCATACCCACAAGTCGAATTTGCTCCAACTTTGACCCCAACATTTTTTTTTTGAGCATGTAACTAAAAATTCTTATACGTACAACAACATGAACTCTGAAATATATTAAATGAAACCTTAGTACCTACACTTACATGGTACACTTTTTTGTGTATTTTTTTTTTTTCAACATTTACTTCTTACTACCACGGCTGATTTTGATTTTGCCACGTAGTTTCTCAATCCTCTTTATTTTTCTCTGTTGTTGCAACATTTTCATCCAACTCATTTTCTTTCCCATCTTCCCACCACTACTACTACTTTTCCCACTTACACCCTTTGGAACTATCTTTTTCTCACTTTTACCCTTCTTGGGTTTCTTGGGATCACGAGTAGTATGTTTCAAGAAACCACCCACAAGTGCCTTCAACTGACCTTTCTGGTTTTTTTCTGCTATTTTATGAACCACCAACTGTTTCTGATTCTTGTCAACCACCTTTTCTCCATGAACCTCCTCTTTCTTCTTCCCATGGTCATGGTCAACCGCCTTTCCTCCATGAACCTCCTCTTTCTTCTTCCCATGGTCATGGTCAACCACCTTTCCTCCATGAAGCTCCTCCTTCTTCTTCCCATGGTCATGGTCAACCACCTTTTCTCCATGAGCCTCATCCTTTTTCTTATGGTCAACGGCTTTTTCTGCATGCTTTTGTGAGGATTTTTTGTGATTGTCTACATCACCATGATCTTTTCCTGTATGATCTGAGGATGATTTTTTATGATCATCTTCAACATCATGATGATGGTGGTGATGGTGGTGGTGGTGATGGTGGAAGATGAATCCCAACTTTTCTTTAAGTTGCTTCAACCTCCCAACTTTTCCAATCTTTGGTTCTTCCTGATTGCCCCTTTTGTTACCCTTTGTTGCAACCGCCATCTTTAACTTCGACCTTGAAGTTGACTTTGACCCTGAAGATTCATCCGAGCTAATCTTCGATTCTTTCTCTTTCTGATTACCCTTTTTGTACCACTTTGTTGGAACCATGCTCTTTGACTTTGACTTTAACTTTGACTTTGACCCTGAAGATTCATCTGAGCTAATCTTTGGTTCTTTCTCTTTTTGATCACCCCTTTTGTACCACTTTGTTGGAACCATCATCTTTGACTTTGATTTTGACTTTGACCTTGTAGTTGACTTTGAACCTGAAGATGCATCTGAGCTAATCTTTGGTTCTTTTTCTTTTTGTTTACCCCTTTTGTAGCACTTTATTGGAACCATACTCTTTGATTTTGACTTGGACCTTGAAGTTGACTTTGACCCTGAAGATTCTTCATCTGAGCTAATCTTCGGTTCTTTTTCTTTCTGATTACCCCTTTTGTACCACTTTGTCATAACCATACTCTTTGATTTTGACTTTGACCCTGAAGATTTATCTGAGCTAATCTTGGGTTCTTTTTCTTTTTGATTACCCCTTTTGCCCCACTTTGTTGGAACCATACTCTTTGATTTTGACTTTGACCCTGAAGATTCATCTGTGCTAATCTTCGGTTCTTTCTGTTTACCCCTTTTGTACCCCTTTGTTGGAACCATCCTCTTTGGCGTTGACTTTGACCTTGAAGTTGATTTTGACCCCGAAGATTCATCTGAGCTAATCTTTGAATCTTTCTTATTACCCCTTTTGTAACCCTTTGTTGGAACCTTCCTCTTTGACTTTGACCTTGGTGTTGACTTCGACCCTGAAGATTCATCTTCATCTGAGCTACTCATGGAAGGACTCTGATCAGGGCTTGAAACCGAATACATCTCACTCTCACTCTCACTCTCACTTTCACTCTCTTCATGGCCTTTGTAAGATCCTTCCATGTCACTACAAGTAGCATAATCTTGTTGACTTTCACTTTGACTTCTCAAACTTGATGAATAATTTGAGCTTGAAACTGGACTATCTGAAGTCACCGGAGAAACCGATCTTTTCCGGTCAACCACCGCGTGTTTCCCTCTGTGATGATCCGGTTTCTTTCGCCTTGTGATTTCAGTTTCTTGAAGTTGATTATTATGTCTGCCATGGAGGGTTGACTTAACAGGTGGGGTCACCCATTGGCTAATTGTTTCCCTTTTAACCATCTGTAAAGCTTGATTCTTGTTGGGAATTTTAGTCAAACTTGAAGAGACTCCAGAAGCATGATAAAGATTATTATAAGTTTTCTCTAGTAAATAATCATGCTGGTTTTCTTGATTGAACATTTCACTTGGACTAACATTTTCAGATGTTTGACCAATGGGCAACACCATATTGACCACTCTTGTAGCGAGTGGTTGAGCTTGCAAGGTCAACTCCCCATGCCATGGATCACTTCTACCAACAGAATAGTTTCCAATCTGACTAAATTGACCCCGGGAATCATTTTCAAGAAGATTGACACGATTCGATGCTAGTTGCAAAGCCGAAATGCAAGATTCTATTTGTTGGATTTTAGCAGAAGCTTCTCTTGATATTTGATCATCTTCATCAATTTGATTATATAAAGTCAGTGATTTCGGAAAGTCAACTGTTGATGAACATGGGAATCCTCCAACTCCAACTTCATAGGTGGTTGGGTTATTTTGATCTTCCCAACTTCTTTTATGATTTTGACGCTGGTTATCTTGAACTTGACTTAATTCTTTGGTCAACTGTTTGACTTTTGGTTTTTGGCATACACGGCATCGTTTCAGTTTGATGTCTGGTTCATCTGCTAAGATTCCTTTTGACTGACCAAAAGAAAATTCTTGACTTCTTGGCTCATTGAAGATCCCTTGACTGGTTCTTAAGTCAAGATTCTGCAGACTTGGAAATTGGGTAGTTGACCACAGGTTATAGTAAGATGGTCTGAATTGAGTACCTACCATCTGATCATATAACCAATTACAATTCTAGTGTCAATTTTATATTACTTTCAGAAAGAAAGAAATTTCAGGTCATTGAATACCTTTGCATGAGCCTCAAAAGCTTTTTTGGCACTAGCATCCAGTAAATTTAGTAGTAGTTGTCTTGCGTTCTTGTCCAACTATTTCAGAACAAATATAAATCAAGGGATCGATTAATTAGCATATGAAAGAAGAAAGAACACGGAAACATACATAGATGCTGCAATGGAAGTAGATCACAATAGAATCAGTCAAATTCTTGATGAATCAATTGGCATCAAGGATTCATTTTTATAAAATTGCGAAGTGTCTGAACAAAACCTTATTTTAAGTTTGTAACTATATCAAATTAAAGTTTGGAGAAGAGTACGACATACAGAAGCAAAAAGACTTACATTTTCAGAGACACGTTGTTGGTCGTTTACAAGAAGGTCATATAATCGTCTCAAGGAGAGTAGCTCTGATCGTAGGTCCTCTGGATCCATCATCTGTGACTAGAACTCCGCAAAAACTGAAAGAATTGTACAGATTAATTTAAGCCAATGATACTTCATACTTTTATGGCGATATTGTTTTCTAATCACATTGTTGACAGAGAAAGAGAACCATATGCCTGTTTCGACTTTCCCGATTTCAGAATGTTCTCTCATTACCCACAATCTGATCGTCGGGTCTTGTAGGGCAAGTGGACAGCGCTAAATAGTAAATACTGTTAGATTGTTGAATTTACAAACACAAATGAAAGAAAAAGTAAATATTAAAAGTGGTATTTCGAAATCTGTACTCCAAAAGAAAAGAAGCCAAATTCATGGAGGGAGAATATGATCAGCGAACATCAAAAGCCATGTTTCTGTCATCAAGTAATCAATTTGTATATAGAATCCCAAGTACCTTCAATAACGTAAGTTACTGACGAACCACACAGCCAAAACAAATACACAGATAATTCGATCGTCGTACAACGTAAATTCTAAGAATAAGACCGACAAATTCAGGTTTTTTCTGGTCTAAACTTTAAACCCATTCGATAACGGCCGCCATTCTCTTGAAAAGAATTCTTATACTCCTTACATTTGCCGGGAAAAACAGCGACGAGCCCCCTCTTTTCACAGAATCATACAAATATCACTATATTTCACAAAATTTTAGAAATTGTCCTTGAATTTAATAAAATTACAAAAATGGTTCTGCATTTCACAAAATTACAGAAAGAGCCCCTTAGTAATAGCAGAATTACAGAAATGTTCCCATTTTTTCCACAAAAATACACAAATGTTCCTGCCTAATGATCAAATAATAGAAATGGCTTCTACATTTCAAGGGTGCTCGAACCCGACTATGTAGTGAAGAAAGATTGTGTATCGGAATCGACGGTTCTCGACCGATAAATGTTTCACGATGCTTAAGTTGCAAATATGAAGAGGGTTTCAAGTTGACTCCCAGATGCCTGATGGGTCGGTTCATAAAGGGGTCGGAGAATTAATTTTTACTGTTCTTATGGTATGGGATTTAATCATTGTGGGCATATGTAGGTCGACATAGAATAAAGTGGAATGGTAGGTTATAGGTGCATTTTATACACCTATTTTGCATGTTTAATTCTGTCATTTCATTGCATTTTACTTCATAATTCTTGCATTTAGTTAATAGTTGGGGCGCTTCCATGTTTTATTCAGATTGTCTGGTACTTCATTATTTTTGAATTATTTTGTAGGCATTGCGGCTATCTGGAGTGTTAAAACGCGTTGTTAAAGTCTAAACAAATAAAAATAACTGATTGGTTGCACTAATGGGTAGCACAGAGAAGTAGGTTTGAATCCACATAGGACATAGCCTAAGAGTCAACACCTCTTTGGGTAAGGCACATACTAGTCAGAAACATAAAATATAAAAATGAGATTTT